TGAATGGCCTTTTTCAGTGGTTGTTGCGAGCATTAGGATTTCACACCCAATTCTTAGCCGCCCGTGTCTTCAACCGCTTCACACAGTGTTATGGTCCTCCATTGGACCACTTGGTCATTTTGGTAGACTTGGATGGACAGCAGTTCCTGTGTGATGTTGGGTTCGGAGAAGGTTTCCTGGAACCGTTAGAGCTGAAGCCAGAGGTGGAACAAATTCAAGAAGGAGGCATATTTTGGTTGAGCCTGGAAGGAGCCACCTGGGTCCTGGAATATCGGGAAATTTCTGGAGAGAAGGAGAGATTCCTCTATAAATTCACTCTAGAGGAAAAGAAGCTGGAAGATTTTTATGACATGTGTCTTTACCACCAGACTTCACCCTGTTCCATCTTCACCTGCAAATCCTTTTGTTCATTGCACAAAGCAGATGGAGGACGTTTAACCTACATAGGTCACCGGCTCATTTCCACCACGGGAAAGGAGCGTACGGAAACTGCCTTGCAGGATTCCGAGATCCCAACCGTTCTCTTTGATAAATTTGGGATCAAACTGAAGAACTTTGAACCTAAGGACGAAAAAATCCTGCCACCTCCTCAACAAGATTAACTAGTGGGATAAGATCTCTTTTGGATTGTAATGGAATATGGAATTGGGCAAGTTGCATCTATTAAGGATCTATGGCTATCTCTTTAACTAGATTAATTCCTGGGGAAAGCCAAGGGTGATTACTTTTATGTTTTAATGAAATATGAAACTGGGCAGGTTGATCTATTAAAGATAATGTCCAAGATCATGCTTGTGATTCTATAAAGGTTAAAAGAAGCTTTAAGTTTGATTTAAGTTTGGATATCCTGCTGATTAGCACATCAGTGTTGCACCAATTACTGGATCATCATTTAGATTTTTAAGGAACCCTGCATGTGATTTTGCCAGTATTTTTACACTTATCAGTGATTGCTACATAAAAGATGGACCAAGATGCATCGGTAGTCTTGTCAGTTTATGCTTCTGTTAAGCTTTGAGAGAGGTGGGGGGGGGGTCAGAGGGAGAGGGAGAAACAGAAGGGCTTCAAAATGTTCGTGCAAGCAGCTAGGCAGAGCCACACATGTCGGAAGAGGAGGTCCTTCTGACATTCCTTGAAAACTGAAAAGCTTTCCAAATCTTCGTGCAGAGTGCAGCAGATTAGCATACGGTGTATCAGTGTGGCCCGGCTATCCTTGCAAAGGAAAAGATCTCGTCCAAAGGTCGTTTTCCTAACCTGGGTTCATTTTCCCAGACCTCCACCCATAAACTTCCCCCATAGTCTGGCCAAAAGCCAAGTGCCACATGCCAAGGCCAATAGCCACAATCATCTCCCGTGTCTCCTTCCTTCCTATCTACATACCTACTTTCCTTCTTTTTTTCCTTTTCTATCTACCTACTTCTTATCTTCCTATCTTCTTCCTGCCTTCCTTTTCTTCTTTATTCCTTCCTCCCTTCCTAGCTACCTACTTTCTTTCTTCCTTTCTTTATTTCCTACCTACCTACTTATCTTCCTATCTTCTTCCTTCTTTCCTTTTCTTCTTCCCTTTCTACCTATCTATCTACTTTCCTTCTTTCTCTCTTCCTTCCTTTCTTTCTTTCATACCTACCTATCTTCCTATTTTCTTCCTTCCTTCCTTATTCCTTCATCTCTTCCTATCTACCTATCTCCTTTTCTTCCTTCCTACCTTTCTTCCCTACCTACTTGCTTATCTTTCTTCCTTCCTCCTTCCTTCCTATATATCTACCTACCTATATTTTTTCTTCTTTCTTTCTTTTCCTTCCTTTCCAACTTTCCTTCCTTCCTACATATCTACCTACCTATCTTTTTCCTTTTCTTTTTTCTTTCTTCCTCTTTGCTTCCTACCTACCTTCTTTATTTCTTTTTCTTCTTTTCCTTCCTTTCCAACATTTCCTTCCTTCCTTTCTTTCCTTCCTACATATCTACCTACCTATATTTTTCCTTTTTCTTCTTTCTCTTTCCTTCCTTCCTACCTACCTTTTCTTTCTTTTCTTTCCTTTCCAACTTTCCTTCTTTCCTACATATCTACCTATTTTATCTTTTATCTTTTCCCTTTTTCTTTCTTTCTCTTTCCTTCCTACCTTCTTTCTTTATTTTTTCTTCCTTTCCTTCCTTTCCAACTTTCCTTCCTTCCTTCCTACATATCTACCTATCTATATTTTTCCTTTTTCTTTCTTTTTTCTTTCTTTCTTTCCTTCCTACTTGTCTCCTTCCTTTTTCTTCTTTTCCTTACTTTTCTTTTCCTTCCTTTCCAACTTTCCTTCCTTCCTTCCTTCCTTCCTACATATCTACCTACCCATCTTTTTTCCTTTCTTTCTTTTCTTTCTTTCTTTTTCTTTCCTTCCTACCTTCTTTCTTTCCTTTCCTTTCCCTCTTTTTCTTTCCTTCCTTCTTTCTTGCAGGGGTGCAGCGCTTACCAGCCTCGCTTCCCACCCACCCCCACCTCCCGCGAGCGCTCCTGTCCAGTCCCCGCCTCCTCCTCCTCCTGGGAAAGGAGGAGCCGAGCGCGGGTAGCGCGCATGCCCACCTCACCCCGGAAGACTTTTGCGCTGCGTGGTTCCCCAGTCCCTGCACTCTTGTCGCCGCCGTCGAGCAGGTGAGAGTCGGTCGGGTTTCCTCCAAGCTTTCTCCCCCTTCGACCCGCAGCCTCTTTCTCCCCACACACCCCTCTCCCTCCGGGCCTGCGCTTTCTGCCCCGCCGCTCCCATTCCTACCAGCGGGGCGGAATCATGGCTTCTCCCGGAGCAGAGACAGGCAAAGCGCAACGCATTAGCAGTGTGTTGTTTGCATTGAACAACAACAACAACAAAATGGCAATTTGGAGTCATTGAGCGAGCATCCCGTATGGTATTGCAAGGGGTCTCCAACTATGGCCACTTTAAGACTTGCGGACTTCAACTCCCAGAATTCCCCAATTGGGTTGGATAGTAAGTCCTTCCCCGAATGTTCTGCCAGTTTGGGAAGACTAGAAGTGTGGGTCGGCACCCAAAGAGGGTTGTCTAGTTTAATGGAAAAGAAGGGGTAACATGACAACTGTAGAAAAAACCATTGCTACCAACCTGCCTCCCATTAAAGACCTGTAGACTGGAGGACTCAAAAAGAGAGCTGTGAAAATATCTACAGACCCCTCGCATCCTGGACATCAATTGTTTCAACTTCTACCCTCAAAACGGCGCTATAGGGCACTGCACACCAAGACAACTAGACACAAGGACAGTTTTCCCCCCCTGAATGCCATCACTTTACCTAACCACAATTCCCACAACACACTCAAATAATTTACTAAGCCTGCAAATTATTCCTAGTATCTATCTCTTCCCATTTATGACTATAACCATGTTGCTTGTATCTTTCAATTTATATTGTTTTATTTGTTTATTAGTCTGATTTGATAGCTTATTAGTTGACTATCACTAAGCGTTGTATCTTTTTATTCTTTATAAATGTATTTTAATCTCCTTACGTACACAGAGCATTTGCACCAAAGACAAATTTCTTGTGTGTCCAATCCCACTTGGCCAATAAAGAATTCTATTCTGTGATAGCAGTGTTCCAATATCTCAGGGGCTGCCACAAAGAAGAGGGAGTCGAGCTATTCTTCAAAGCACCCAGGGGTAGGATGAGAAGCAATGGGTGGAAACTAGTCAAGGAGAGAAGCAACTTAGAACTAAAGGAGAAATTTCCTGACAGTTAGAACAATTAATTAGTGGAACAGCTTGCCTCCCGAAGTTGTGAATGCCCCGACACTGGAAGCTTTTAAGAAGATGTTGAATAACCATTTGTCCAAAGTGGTGTAGGGTTTCCTGCCTAAGCAGCGGGTTGGACTAGAAGACCTCCAATGTCCCTTCCAACTCTGTTATTCTATTCTATATAATTCGGTGTGGGAAAGGGGGGGGTAAGGGAGAGAGAGGGGGGAAGACCCCAAGATTAATTCCCTGCCTGAAAAGGGAATAGAGGAGAGTCACGAGTTTGGACTGGGGCCATGATGAGAAGTTGGCAATGGATCCACATCCCTGTTTTGGAAAGAAAAATAAATAAACATCAAAAACCTTTGTGAGGATTGTCAGTTGCAGTCTGGGTTAGAAAAGGAAGGAAGGGAAGGGACAGCGAGGGAGGAAGGAAGGAAATATATGTGTATGTATAAACAGCTCTACAAATACTTAAACAGTATGAGAGTGTGTAAACACACACACACAAAATCACAACTACATATACATATGTATATACACACATCCTAATAAACACACATATATACAGATAACTAAACAAATACACATAAACATCTATAGACCTATAGATGTTTACGTGCAGAATGTGTTCATACACCAAATAAAACACTGGTAATTAAATATTTAGTGTATTGATTACTGATCAAATTGAGGATAATATCTAAGTGTGTTTCCCAATCTTGGCAATTTTTAGATATGTGTGGTCTTCCCAGAATTCCCCTGTCGGTCAGCATTGTGATTTCCAAACAAGGGTTTATGCCCTTTCGTGTTTGGGGCCCAGGCAGCTGCGGCTTAAGTCAATTAATCATAGTTTCCATGTGGACCTATTGGGTGGCTCTCCAATTACTCAATCATGGCTCTCTGAAGCCTAAAGTAGAATGGCCTGTTAACCAGGGCTACAAGGGGCTAGAGCAGGGATGGCTAACCTATTTGCCGTTGCGTGCCAAAAGTGCACTCACACCCATAATGTAATGTGTGTGTGACACACACACACACGTGCGCGCCACCCACACACATGCATGCACGACACCCACCCCATGCCTCCCTGCAGCCTCCTAGGAACAAAAACAGGCCGCGGGAGGGAAGGGCGCACTACTCACATCCCGTATCCCGTTTCGGGCCTGGTAGCCCTCCTGGTGGCCTCCTGGGACCAAAAACAGGCCATGGGGGGAGCCCCCCGCAGGTGACGCACCTCCCTGCCCATGCATGTGCGTCTCCTGCTTGCGCAGTAGAAACTAAAAATCAGCTGGCAAGCGGGAGGTATGCGTCCATGCACTGTGGAGCTGAGCTGGGGCAATGGCTAGCGTGCCCTCGCCATCACAGAGCTAGAGGGTAACAGTATCAAGAAGGTGGTACAAATGCCTAGAATGGTCTTTCATTAAACTCATTTTTTAATCCACAGTCTCTTCCATGGCTTCCATCGTTCCCCCGACGGCTTCCCCAGGCTCAGGGGTCCTTGTGACTCAGCACGGCGCTTTCGTGATCCGCTCCGATTTGGGTTACTTCCTCCAAACGACTGACTTCAGCTCAGGGCAAGATCTCAAAATACAGCCCCTCCACCCTGCTTGCCGCGGAAAAGACCACTATGTAGGAGACCCCAGCGGTCCGGCCATCTATCTCCTCCACGGGGACTCCTTCTGCCAAGTGCCGGACCTGACCTCTGAGCCGCCCACGGATGCCTTCCCGTTGCACCCCAGCTGCCGCGGAGCAGACCATTACGCATTCTGCGAGGGACACTTTTTCATCTTCTTCCTGTCGCGAGGGGTGGTCCTGTGTGTGGCTGACCTGGCCACGGGGGCCTTGGTTAAGGAGATCCACTTGGAACCCACTCTCCTCAATGGGCTGTACTACTACGGAGCTGATTCTGCCCATCTGGCTTGCTTCAGGATGGACGAGGAGCAGCGGCTTTGTGGCACCCGTTTTGCCGCCACTGCAGGATCCAAGGAGGAGTCCTTCGCGATTCACCCGGACGTGGTCTCGTTCCTCCCAGGCGGACTGTCCATCACGCACGGTGCTGCCTTCGGTCAGTGGCAGTGCCTCAAGCTCCTCTCCAACGGAACCGACATGCCCATGCCCAGCAGCAATGAAATATCCCGCATGGTTGGCTATGCCAAGTTGGAACTTGGGCTAAAAGCTCATGTCGACCCGTCAGTGAATCCGGAATCCCTGGCAATGTCTCTGCTCCAGCACCACTTTGCACTCCCTACGATCTACGGAGGACTGGGACTTCAGACCGAGCAAGAAGAATGGGAAGACGCAGTGGAGGAAGAAGAGCCTCTCCGGGTGATCCTGCAGCCCAGGCAAAAGCTTTACTGGTGGCATTACTGCCTGGGGTTGGGCAAGACGCCTGTCTTGTATTGCCGGTCACTGAAGATCACCCGCAATCCTTCACCCCCTACAAACATACCTTTGCCACGGGCTGCGGTTTGAAGCCAGACTTCAGGAAGGAAGCTTTTAACAGGGCTAAAAAGAAATAAATAAATAGATATATTTATGTACTTCCTCTTCTTGTTATCTTTCACTTGCAAGAACAACTCCTTGTTTGGCAACTGAAGTTGTGACGGTGCTGAACGAGGGGGGGGAGGGAGGTTACAACAGGTCGTTGTGTAGTTGCGGCCATTGCAACATCCCTGGGGTCATGTAAAGAGTGTTCCCAAATTACCATAGTTCATTTAGTGACCATTCAAACTTGCAATGGCACTATAAAAAAGTGACATGTGACCGTTTCTCACACTTAACAGCCGTCACAAAACATGCCCACATGATCAAAATTCATACACTTGGCAACTGACTCGTGACGGTTGCAGCGTTCCAGGGTCACGTGATCGCCTTTTTGTGTCAAAGGGGGAAGCCGGAGTCACTTAACAACTGCATTCCTAATTTTAACAACTGCAGAGATTCACTTAATGACTGTGGTAAGAAAGGTCATAAAGTGGGGCAAAATCACTTAGCAGTGGAAATTTGTGGCTCAATAGATTCAAGTCAAGGACTACCCATAGGTGGGATTTAGCAGCTGGACAACTGGCTTGCAGTGACAATATTGCAAGCATTCCGGCCATGTGATGTCCTTTTGCAAACTTCCACTATCGGCTTCTGCCAAGCAAAGTCATTGGGGAAGCCAGCGGATCGTAGACGATGATCACGTGACTATGGGAACTGCATGAGATTTACCCAATGACAGGAACTGGGACTGCCACAACTGTTGTAAGTTGGTAAGTTGGCGGTCATAGGATGTTACACTTTACGAATGTGTCAGATAGCGATAGAATTCCTGGTCCCAATTACCATCATTAAGCAATGATTACCGTATTTTTCAGACTATAAGACGCTCTGGACTATAAGCTACGCCTAGCTTTTGCAGAGGAAATCAAGAAAAAAATCTGCCTCTGCCTCCCAGCATCTATCCGGTATTCATCTGACACATTCGCCTCGGCCCGTTCGCTGCCGCCCCTTCGCAGCGGCCCTTTTGCTACCACCATGACTCATTCACTGCTGCCACGGCCCATTCTACAACAGCTGGTCAGCACCCCACCAACACACACACACACACACGCTGCAATATTTGCTGTTGTCTATGGGGGAGAGGGGAAGACAGAGATAGTTACCATATTTTTTCAGAGTATAAGACGCACCAAGGTTTTGAAGAGGCAATTTTAAAAAAAAAAAGTTTTTGCACTCTGCAGGGCTTCTACAGGCTCTGCATGGCAATTTTGGTGATGGGGGCGGGGCTTCAGGAGGCAAAAAAAATGCTGTATTCAGTGTATGACGCACCCAGATTTTCAGCCTCTTTTTTGAGGGAAAAGGGTGTGTCTTATACTCAGAAAAATATGGTATCTAGGAGTCTATAATGGAGTAAGGTTGCTCAAGGGATGAGGAGATAGATTAGCTTAGTCAAGTCAAGGCACACAAGTCTCCTAATAAGGAAAATTAGGTAACTATTTCCTCTGTCCAGAAGGGCAGCAAGTTAGAACTCACCAGCTTGGGATGGGGGGGGGGGGGAGAACCTCAATCGCTTTATATCAAGAGAAACGATCTTAGATGTTTGCCGATAGCTCTTTTGGGGTTTGTTCATATGGAATGGGACAACTCCCGCCCTGGTCAACTCAATTTGCCACAGCAGAACTCGTTGGGAGGAGGAAGGGACGATAGTTCCATAATTTAAAATAATTCATTTTGGTCGTTCACATTTCATTTTGCATCCTTTCCTTAATTATTCCTTCCATCGCTCCTTCAATATTAGTATAACTTCTGTCCCACGGTGAGTTTGTCCTACAGCACGTTGACTACACCAAGTCCTTAGACCAATGATGGCTAATCTGCTCCGGACCGAGTGCCCGGGTGCAAATGCGCATGCGCTAGAACTCCCAAAACGCTGCGCATGTGCAGCCCACATGCATGCGCCCTGCCCCTCTGTGCATGTGCACGCCCTCCACACGTGCCCCACCCCCACACATGCGTATGCGCCCCTCCACCCCGTGCGTGCACGCATATCCCTCTGCATGTGCCCTATGCATTTGCGCCAGAGACTCAATGACTAGGTTTGCCATAACGGTTCAAGACCCCCCCGTCCTTGTTCATAGGATCTTAAAAAAGCACAGAATCCTGTGATCAGCTTTGCTTATGAGTTGTGGACATGAAAAACGCTTAGGTGGACATGAGAGGTTTTGTGATCTTCCACATTTCCAATTTGAGAAACACAAAGAGAACCTACCCGTTGTCCTTCACACAATGAGGTTAAAAAAAAAAACGGTACCGTATTTTTGGGAGTATACGACGCACCTTTTTCCCTCAAAAAGGGGTGAAAATCCGGGTGTGTTTTAGACACTGAATACAGCAATTGTGGCTTACTAAAACCCCGTTCCTTTGCAAAAATTGAAGTGCAGAGGGTTTGGGAGGCTTGAAAAGTGTTCCTGAGGGCTGGGGAGGGCGGTTTCCCCCCCCCAGCCCTCAGGAGCACTCTACAAGCCTCCCAAAGCTCTGCACCCCCCCCCATTTTTTTTTGCAAAATACCAGGCGTGCAGAGGGTTTAGGAAGCCTGTAGAGTGCAAAAACTTTTTTAAAAAATTATCTCTTCAAAATCATGGTGTGTCTTCTACTCCGGTGCGTCTTCTAGTCTGAAAAATACGGTAATTCAGAGTGCTGTGATTTTTTTCCCAAGGATTTTTCATCAAAACATCAGAGTTAGGAAACAGAATAATATGGAAACAATGCTAGTCGCAAAATAACTCTCCTCTACTACAGGTAGTCCTTGACTTACAACTATTTGTTTAGTGACCATTTAAAGTTAAGACAGCATTGAAAAAAAGTGACTTATGACTGTTTTTCACATGGCTACCTGCAGTCCTCGAGTTACAAACAGTTCATTGAGCGACCGCTCAAAAGTTACAGCAGCATTGAAAAATGTAACTTGTTTCATAGTTACAACCTTTGCTGTGTCCCGAGTGGTGGTCACCTTTTGAGCCAGATTCACTTAACAACCGTATTACTTAACAACGGCAGTGATTCACTTAATAATTGTGTCAAGAAAGGTTGTAAAATGGGGGCAAAACTCAACAAATGTCTCACTTAACAGAAATTTTGGGCTGTTGTAAGTCAAGGGTTATCTTATTGCAGCATTCCTCTTGGTCACGTGATACAAATTTGGGTGCTTGGCAACGGGTTCATATTTATGACGGTTCTGGTGTCCTGGGGATCATGTGACCATCATTTCCAAGTTTCTGAGGAGCAAAGTCAGTTGGGAAAACCAGATTCACTTAACAGCCGGTTACTAACTTAAGCACTGCAGTGATTCACTTAACAACAGTGGCAAGAAAACGTAAGAACTGTCTCGCTTAGCAACAGACATTTTGGGCTCAATTGTGGCCATAAGTCGAGAACTACCTGCATTACATAACTTTGGCTTTCCCCAACCTGGGGCCCACTAGCAGCAACAGGATACCAATTCCAAGATATTGTTCTGACCAAGGCTTCCCAAGAGCATGAAGCAAACTCCTAGTTCCGACAAAAACCCTTTATTAATTTACTCTGAGTTCTGCTCATTCACATCCAGCAAAGTCTTTCAAGGGAGGATTTACAGTCACAG